CTTTTGAGTTGGCATAAATAAATTAAATTCGAAAAACTCATCATCAGTTATTTTTTTTTACATTTTAAAATAAGAGGTAAGTGAGAATTCTATCTCAACTGTTCGTTTGAACAGGTCTGTCGTAAATTACTCTACGTTTGATTGTATTCTTAGTAATAAAGTTCAGGGAAGCAGAATTATAAAATTGCGGAGATAATAGGCATCTAATTATCGATCCCAAGCAACGAGTACCGGGCGAACCTGCCATTTATACACCATTACAGCCAGGCGCCGTAAATATATAGCAGCTGTCCCGGCAGGTGTCTAAGACTTATACTTTTAGTGTCTAAATATCACCTTGTAACGGACTCCTGTGTAGCCCACAGTGATTTATTGTGCGTTAGATCCATGCACAGCCGAAATTTCACTGAAGTTTTACGTAGCTCTAAACTGGCATTGTTCGTTGTGACGTGGCACAGCTAGGTGAGAATTACTTCATATTCATTCACGAAGGTCCGGTCAGGGGACACATCATATCTTTCTTTAAAAAAAGTGCACTTTTATGCCAAAAAATTTCTTGGTACCACAAATAATTATTGTTTTCGTCAATGGGAAATCTACACTTCGGATCTTGATCGAGACTATTCTTCTTAACCCTATTTGGGATGAACTTGAACATGCATGCTTGGAACTTGAACATGCATGTTTGAATGCATGGGATGAACTTGCGTAACGAGATTTAAATAATTGACTTTCGAAGCTTTTTTCCCCAATACTGATACACAAATGATAAAAGGAATGAATTGTAAATAACACTAACACGAATAATAAAGTAAATTTAATCGCAAGAAATAAGAGCACAGGAGCAGCAGCATTGGAAATGGCTTTTAAAATATAAGCCTTTCTGCAAGGAACGAGATACTCTATGTGGTCCGATGCCACTGCTGAATTTCTTTTCAACACTTCTTCCAAATCTGACGGCAGTGGAATAGCAACACAGGAAATTCACACTTACAATAGTACATTGCAGTAGAACATTATCTGAACCGTACCTGCTCTGGTATGGTTCAGATACAATCAACAATACATACTACTATCAAGTTATTAGTGAACGACTATGGCATTCACAGAAAGCATTACAGCGAAGTTAATTCGCGGTCTCTTACCTATACGCCATCTGAGTAAAACTAAAATTCAAATTTGAAACGGCCCAAGTATATTCAATGAGAGTCGAAGTTGAAAAATTTCGTTGATCACTACAGTATAGTTCTGAGATACCGCAGCTTTACACTGCACGTACGTACGTATAGTTCTCCATGCAGTAACGTAGCGAAAATTTCTTTCGGGTTAACTTTATGGAAGACTAAGATGAAAGTTAATGTGATCGACACCTGCGGGGCTAAAAATTGCTTCCGCGCATTAGTTATTATTCTAGTGTTCAAAGCCAAAATGTTGTTGCGAAAATATTATGTCACCAATACAAAATAATTTCCGAGTGGCCATGTAACAGAAAGCGTCAAACTGTAAATAAAATATCGCGCATTATTTGACAGGCGACTGTTACTTGCACGCTTTCATTGAAAACGGGCATCTATATAACTTCAATTCTTTCTATGCGAAAATTTTCAAGCATATTGTTTATTAAAATCTGATACTTTGCGCAGCCTCTTGCGGAATTACTGTGGGGCGCAAATCATTAAGACCTAATGTAGATCACACACTGGAATAGCGACTAGCAAGCACGAGAGTCCAATTAGATATAAATAAAAAGCATTTCCAAGTTGTAGTAACAATCAATAGGAAAGAGAATGCATGTGCAACTAGACCAAGTTTAACCTAGCGTGCAATTACCTCTAGCAAAAGATAGGATCACAATTCAGCTATTATTTACTTTGAATTTGTTTTCAACACTCGTACAGATTCAAATAAAATGGCTCGTCTAAATGATAGGAAAGTCTTTTAAACGTCAAATATGTAAGCACGTATAAATGAGGGAAAAACAAAATAAAAATAACAAAATATATCAATCCGCTGTCATATTTAAACTTGTTCCAAGTTGAAATAACATTATTCCCTTATGAAATTAGAAGATAACGGCTTAATTGTAGATTCTCATCGATCGCACCAAATGTAAATAGCATTTCTCATCCATTCATGAAAATCAAAATACGTGACTTCAATAATTTGTTGAATTTCTTTATAAAACAATGATTTTCAATTTGTATGAACGATAAAATTTCGAATTGAGCTTCAATTTAAAATGAAGTTATTTTACAGTTATTTAGTCATCGCTCTGTACTCTCTGATAGTGCACCGCAGAGATGCATGGGTTTTCTCCATGGGTTGATTACGCAATCTTTTATCTTCGTATAATGGGCGATGGACATGCATTTCATCTGCAGCGTTCAAGAGGTTTTCTGGAAAGAATAGCTGATCATTCAACTTTAAACTCGTATTAATTCAATAACGCTGACGAGACGAGCAGTACCTCCATGTACCAACGCAGTAGCTACATTACCCTTAAATGGTGAATGTAGAATCACCAAGCGGAGCGACTACGAAAATTTATAAAGCAAAGAGCATAACGAACATGAACATCAAAATTATTACAAGAATTCGCGAAAGAGTCTGGTACAAACTGTAAACGTTTTCGCTCTCTCGCTGCTGGCTGGACCGACGTAACGCTATGTATTGATTCGCTGCATTTCTTGAATAAAATCGCTGAGCAAGGAGGTAGGCAACACGCTTTGCCGTGCTGACTCATTTAAATTGTCTGGTCAAAGTAAAAGTTTGAGGACATGGACGGTGGTTTGTACGAGGTATCTTGCCCTGTCTGACAACTACAGAACAACCTGCTTTATCTCCAGCATATCTCAGAAGCTACTGAACTCGTTCTGACAGGAAATATATATTTACCCGTTTATCGCTAAACGGCTTATGTGGGCGATTATTATTAATTGTACAACAATTTTACATGGTTTCATTATGAGGCGTTACGAAGGATCATGAAAAATCAAGAATCGAATAACCTAACCCAGCATGCAAAATGAAATACACAATGAAATTTCAACGCTACCGTGCCAAGTAGCGTCGATTTAAGTCATCAAAGCAGAGCATAGACAATTGTACACAGTGGAAACAATGCTCTAAAATATTGTAACTAGGAATTTGAAAAGGGTATTGTAAGTTACACACAACTATAAAGGAAGGCTTCATAAATTCAATAAAAAGGATGGAAATTTATAGAGAAGTATGTAACAGTAGAGCAATAGGCGTAAGGTAACCACTGCATTCTAAATGCCCAAGCCTCCTCAATGAAATTAAACAAATTTATAAAATAATAATTGCGGTAATTCGGAAAAAGTTTAACGCTAAACTTACGACCGCCGTTTTCCTGCTGCCAAAGATACGACAGTCCCAGAAATATCTTTTCGCACAAAGATGCGTTGAATGATTCGTTGTTTGATGTATTCTATGAATGCTACCGCTTGTGACTAGCGATTACGAGTTATGATAAGTATTGAAAAATAAATACAAAATTTACCATGCGAATTGAGCGAACCCGATTCATTTTCATGGAGGTTTTGGTTATCTTAAACAGCGAGAGTGTCTTGACAATAACAAAATATATAGCGTTTTCAGCGTTCATTAGGCCGTATACTTGTCGTCGATTCTTAACATGGCAGAACATTCACAGTATGTTGCGGTCTCGAACACGCAACTCAGTGCTCCAAAATTTCTTGCTTAACCGCCCGGCCTTCTCGCCGATTCGGACCAGAAATTGGCACAGAGCTGGGATCGAACCCTATACTTATCTACTACAATCCCTGTACGTTGAACTGTAACCACTGGACTACCTCAAATCTCTAAGTTTCTTTACCAAGTGATTATCGAGATTTCCATGTCGAACAATTTTAATAATGGACGCGAAAATACGGAAAGAAATTATGATGGGTAGATATGGTACGCTAATCTTTACCAAGTACCAAATCACCAAGTGATTATCGAGATTTACATGTAAATATCGAGATTTACCAAGTGATTATCGAGATTTACATATCGAATAATTGTAATTCTTACGCGAAAATACGGAAAGAAATCATGATGGCTTGATGGGTAGAAATGCTACGCTAATCTTGCATTAAATCAGCCTAGTCGTAAATGCGAGTCAGTGTTTCGAATGAGTGATAGTTACGACATACACAATTTGTTTAACCATTAAATAAAAATTGATTGCTAAATAGACTGTAGTGTGGAATCTTAGAAGTTTCGACTATTTCTATATTACAAAAGTTGAAAGCAGCCACACAAGTTACCGTAGTTACTGTATTTTTTAAAAGAAACCAAGCCATCGCTGGCTTCAATGAAAACTCTTGCAGCTCAGTTAGCTTAATTTTAATCGACAGATTAAAACGCATTCTTCATTACATTTATTGAACTTATAAATTTCCAAAGACTGTTAAAAATGCAACAGGTCGTAACAATTCAAGGTGGCAATGGCACTTGACCCAGTTATTAATGAACATAATATCAATGGTGGCGCGATGACAAAAGATTACTCTGCAGGTATTTTCGATACATTAAAAATATAACAATATTCAGATAGACTTGCTATATACAGAAATATCCCCACTATTCTTCAGATCGTAAATTTAGCACGAGTAGAAAAGTAGTTTCAGAGCATCACTAAGTGGATTTTGCTTTCATTGTAGACTCGTTGTTCATCTGGCAGCAGCAGCTTGCTGTTATAGATCGATGATGATACCCGTTTCGTGATGCATTTTACTCATCAGCAACCAAATCAATTTATAACAAAATTCAGCATGAACAGTTGGTCATCTTTGATGGTTGATGCAAACATTACCGACCAGTTTAGTGTTTGACGTACATCACAATCAAATTTATAGTATTTATTCCCAAAACCTCTCGCTACAAACAGGTGATTGAGGCCGTGGCATATAGCTTGAAATACGCACTAAATATCGTTATATATTTCAGCCAAAGAATAAAGACGGCATCACCTGTGTGTTAGCTGGCCACTTCAGATGTTGACGAGCTCACGAGATGGCACTTCATAATGAGAAGATTGGTTGTGCCGGCGTATGGCGCCTGAGGCAACTGACACGTGCTCACTGCGCGACGGTCCCACGGACTGGAAACTTCGGTGGCATTCTAGCGGCTTCGACAGTGTCGATCCATGTCCTAGTTAATGTACCTTGGATATTTCGTTGGCCGATGTTGGAAATGTGTCAATGTAAACTGAACCGAAAACTTTAATAAAGAAATGTGTTTTTTAAGTTCTCTGGCAATGAGCTCGCCATGGTTAAAAAATAAACTATTTGATACAAAATCGTTACAGTTTCTTTAATTTGCTAAGACAACGTGATATTAGTGTCTATTTAGTTATTGTTTATCAAAAGCCAAAGTTCATGTGCGATGCACTTGAAGCGTATGTAGATGTACATATAACTGATGTAAGGCGACGTCTCTTTGGAATTATTTGTTATTTGTTGTCTTTGAACGACAGCCGTCGTAGTCACAAATAGATTATTACTAGAATTATTATCAAACTTCAGACGGTATAGTACAATTTTTATTGAAACTGTTTGCCTACCCAAGTTTCAGTCAATGTCAAATATCATCATACTTATAAATGTACTGAAAGTTTAAAACGAGTTATCAAGTTGCGACAGTTAGCGATACTAGTTTCCCATATTGGATGCTATACATTTCAAATGGCTCGTGAGTATTTTAATTTACGGTGGCTCACGCATTGAGAGGCTTTGGTTTCTGCGAACAATCGTTGCAGTTGCATTATAAGTATTAGTTTAACCTTATAGGTAACAAGTAGATTAAAACGTTTCCGGAACAGAAAACGCTGGCGCTGACCGATTTCTAGGAGGGTCTGTAGTAAAGCACGAGGGTGGCTACCGTACTGGCGTTGAAGAAACTCTATGAAATATTTCAGTTAACAATTATTTATTTACATCAATCCACGACAAATCGAATATTTATCATCATTGTTTCATTGCGCAGGCAATAATTTAACAGATTTACATAGTTCAGGCCGTCAATCAAATGCTGTTCTCTAGCGACCCTATAACACAAAGTTCACGAGTTGTGTACACACGCCGCGTGAGGCGTCTGTCGGAGGTCACACAGCTCCGGACCCGCCTGTGACACTTTAGTTCATATTTATTTACGTGGGTAAGATCGCTGTCGAGCACAGCAGCCTATTAAATAAACTGCTTAAAGCCATTGCGCCAGATGTCAGCCTGCTAATTATTGCTAGGCATTCTGTAATAATGCTAATTACCGACTTGTAAGCATTTCCAAGCACTGACCGAAGGCCTACGGCGCTATTATTTTAAAGCAGTGTTCCGCTGGCCTGGATTGCGCTGCTTCAGCGTAGTCTATGACTTCTAGTTCTGTGACTGATTTAAGCTGTTGCATGCTGATAGCTGAGGCTTGGTGTTCGCTCCAGGGCTTAAGAGTTGAATTTGTGAGCTACGGCTGCGCCATCCGTCCCGTCACCTTATAAATTTTGCGACGAAAAGGCACGAGTCAAAAATACATTCTTAGTTCAATCCTGCGTTCTAGAGAGAAACAAATGATACAGTGAAGGGTGACATGGGAATAGGACCGTATCTTTTTCTTTCTTAGGTGTAGATTTCTTTAAAAAATGTGAACCCGTCTTTTCAGCAGCACACACAATTGAAACACGTCGCATCTAAGAAATATGTGAGGCGCACACTCGGTGCACGATCAGAATTTTAGTGCTCGAAACACGTTCAATAAATGTTTGAGAACAACATCGTCTACTCAGAAGAGCAAATATTCATATGAGAGATGCCGAGATATAATGATTCAACACTTAAATAATCAATATATACTGAGGAATAAATGATACAGGCAGTATTGTCGCTTTGCACGAGATCAGGCAAATACTACTTTTATTGATAATGCCCAGGACAGGCTGAAGACAACACATCGACTAAAATTCGTTTGAGCGCAATCCAAATTTCAATTAGAGTGAAAAGAGCATAATAACTAATTGAACGGGTCTCGTCTCCTTAACAAAGGCTAACGAAGGACATGCATTCCTCGCTGACACTTCCTTCAAAATTCACGATGCACTCGAGGGCAGTGTAAGTTCTGAGCTGTAAAATTGATGAAATTTTAAATCATGTGTGAGGATCGAATCAACTGCCGATCGTTAAATAACAATGAAGATGAGGCGTTGCTTTATGGATGTTACCGAGCTAACTGAAAGACTAATCTCGCTTAAATTATTTATAGACGAAGATTTACTGAACGCTAGTTCAGTGAATGAAACATATACACATACAAATTATTGCAGACATATTGCATAATACTCAGTAACTAATCTTAAAGCTAGCACGATAAAAATATCATCATATGATAGCTTTAGAAATATTTCATGAATTCATTACAGCCACGCACTTAAAATTTCAATACAATATATGTTATTACTGTATGTGACCGAGTTCAATTTAAATCAGAGTTCGTAGCTCATACTACCAAAGTAAAAGTTGAGTATATCAGCGCGATAATGCACTAAGTTACCCTAACTATATTAGCTTCGTCCAGACTAGAATTATTCAATAATATTCTAACAAATGATAAATGATTATTAAAGAAGACCTTAAGCGGGCTTAAAAGGTTAAGATAATGCAGAGACAAAACAATAGATCCTAATTCAAAAAGGATTACATATTTATCGTACTTATAAACAGAAAAAAATGTCCTCAAAACGAAACTATGATTTTTCATTATTCAACCATTTCGCTGGCATTTATTTTTTCCCAACAAAAGTTCCGCGTCAGAAAAGAAGGCCCGAAACGAACTTGTCAAATTATTTTATTAAAGTATTATAATTTTAGCTTAATTTTCGGATCCACGTAACATCGGATGAGAAAAACTTGACTAAATGTGAACGAAACTGCAACATTGTTCACCTAGTGGACGATTCCAGCAGGTGCTTTTAACTTGTCCCATTATGATTTGAATTAAAACTTTTATTTCTGGATACAATTCACGATTCGTCAATATCATTTATACCTGAAGGCCTTTTGTTAGATACGGTTAACATCAGTAGTTGAAGTAGTTAACATCAGTAGAAGTTCTATAATAGATAGTAACTTCATCGTTACATTAGCTAAGAACGTATCGCGAGTCAGATAAACGTCCCCCAACAAAGTGACAGTTCGTAACAATCACAAACCACATTTCACAAACCAAATGTATTCATCACCCAGAGGTAGCGGATGCTTTCGAATAACGTATTATGAAGAAGCAGTGATTTTATCTAATTGTAAATTGGAGAGGCGAACAACAAAAACGAGTAAAACCGGACAACAGTTCGCGGTGCGAAACAAGAGCAAATAGTCAAAACCAGATTACCGAACATAGCCCCAATCATTACTAATCTACGACGTACAACCAATAAACATATACATATACAATACATATACATATAAAATACATTAACAAACACACATCAATCAAATTTACTTTAAACAATACACAAACATACTAAATACGTGCCCGCGCACATCTCTCTCAACACTCGTCA